TCCTTGATGCCATTTAGAAAAGGCCTTTCTGTCAACTCAGGTCCTCAGATGGCCACAAACTTCTTGTTTCGACAAGCAAGCACAACGTCGATGTGATTCAGCTCTTGTTAATTGGCAGACGCGTTAGCCCGCAAATCAAGACTCAACAAGGGTCTGGAATTGAACATATGAAGACGTTGGAAAAAAATCTTGCCTTTAAAGGGAATCACTGTCCAATGTTATCTATGCTATATTAGCCAAACACTTTGTATCGACCACCTTGAATTCCTCGATTAATGCTATGAAATCGCTTCTCACAGATGGAAAAGCAGTCGTAAAAACTTAACTCAAGTTATGATAAATTTAGGCATCAACGTCAGATCGTGAGAACCACTAAAGCAGCACCATTTGTACCGAATAACAATGCGATCCAAAGCAACGGGTCATTCTCACGATCCTTAGTATTGAAGGCCTTTCAAGTTTGCGTAAACGTCAGCTTTTGTCTTACGCGCTTAATTCTAAATGTTTTCTCCGAAGGAACTCGTTTGCATAGAGATCCTTTCGCAACAAGGCAATGAGCTTAAAAATACTAAGAGAAGCACTTTTACTTATGTCGCAGAAGGCATTTATGTTAAAACATTTTAACTTCCGCATCGGCCAAACTAATTCGGTATTGGCAACAGTCAAACGAACTTTTTTGGTCATGCAATCGAAGTGGTGCAAAATCGAACAAACTCCTAAAATGAATGCTCTCCCGTTGCCCTGTTTGGCAGTTTTGGTAAGTAGTAACTTTCTGCCTAAGTAAGAACGAATAGAATGGCAACCTGTTTTTGTCACTTTTAGCCATTTTAGATGCCACTGAAACGCGTGCATGCTCAACCTGTGCTCCCCCATCCAATTCAAGCACTGCACTGAAACACCACCTTCAACATGTTTAAGTGGGAGGAATCGCCAAATTAAGGGTGAAGAAGTGCCAGTCGAGCTTGCCACTGCCTCGGAGACAGGTCATTTTGGAGTTCAATCCCAACAACTCATTCAGTTTCTCCCTCAGTGGGAAACAATAGTGCGCCTTTATGCTTTGAAAATGGGTAGAATACGTTTGAACTGAAATTATTATGTACCCAGGCCATTCGTCCGAAGCGCACAACTTATGCTCACATAAAGCCTCTTGGTATTGGAAAACAAAGAAGCAGTCTAGACCTTCCGTGGACGATTCTCCCATCCTGTATTCTCATAATGCTGTCGCTGTAGCGGGACGAGAGTCAACATGTGGAGCTGTGCCGTGAAGGAAAGAAGGCGGATGGAGATGGAAAACGATGATCACTTGTGCGAATGCAATACGAGGTGGCGCTTTGTATTTGCTGGCTTTGTGCACTCTTCTGTGCTAATGGGAATGGGACTTTTTTCCCCACTGATCCACTGACCTTTCTGTTTCTTAAAGCCAAGGTGCGGATAGTAGGGAGAGTTGAGAACCAAGGGAGCGAGTTGTTCAGTCTTTAGCTGGTAGACAATAGCCTCTCCAGTCTACAATTTCTGCACTTACATGCAAACAGGCACAGCAAATGCTCTTGTCCCTTCAGGGTCAACTTAGGTGCCACGGACCAGAATTTCAATGAACACCCTCAAAACAATCTCTATGATAAACATGAACAAACTTCTTGTTTAGTCCTCCCAATCAAGTGAGTAACCTCGTGACCACAAATAAACTTTGGGAATTCTTTACCTCTGCATTTCGATCAAACAATGTTAATAATCTTTTCAGTTACTCCAGAAATTTCCTTAGGGACGACAAGTATTATCTTAGTTTTCAGCCTATCACAAAACAGAGCGCTTTGTTAAAATATTATCACCAGAACCAGTTCTGTTGGCAAAAAATTCAGCAGAAAATAAGGAGACATCCGTGAGGTGGAGATCTTACATGTTTATGGATCAGAGATAAAGCATTGGAGCTTGTGGTGCAAAGTTCATTATCTTGCCTGATTTGTATGCTGCCATTCCATTGTTTCATGCTGATAGTGGTTGAACGGCGCCAGCGGATGTGATGGAACTGATCCTTGCTGTGAATTTCCACTCTTTGCAGCGCTTAGCAGTCCTGCCAGTTGCGCCGCTTCTGCTGCAGCACAAAACGGCTGCACTGACGTTGGTGGCGGTAGTGGAGGTGGCGGTGGTGGCGCGGGAGCAGCGACGGCTGAGGCCGTGGAAGGTGGTTGTGGTTGAGAAAGGAGGGAACGCATCCACTGTAGCATCAGCATTGGATGTGGAGCGCAGGCCCCAGGGGGTGGGGGCGGTGGAGGTAGCGGCAAACGCGGACTATTCAATGCGGCGGCCAATCCGAAGGGTGGAGGCAAGGGTGGTACCATCGAACAGGGCGGATAGCGTGGACTAGGACTTGGGTTTTCTAGTGGTTGGGCCATTCCGTTTTGTTATCAGGATGGTCTATAGGTTAAATGACTTTAATAAGAGCATGGCTATTTCGAGACACAAAAGTACCTAACTTATTTCTGTTTACACTACGCCCAGAAACTTATGACTTTGTGTTTATGTGATGCTGAAATAATCAAACCGGCATAGAATTCGATTCATTTACTTTGGTGAGGTTAAAAGTCAGTTAAAGGAAGGCGAATTATCAAGATCTGCAATAAAACTTCATTTTATTAGCCAATGCGTTTCGGTCATCGAATCGCTGATAAAAAACGACATCGCGTCTGGCAGTTGGTGAGTGTCCTATTGCAAATAGCACAATTTTCCGCCTCACCATTGGGAGCTAGGTGTAATGAAAATTATAAAGTCCCGGTAGAGGAGTGAAGCGTTCAATTCTATTTTCAAATTTATCTGTTAAACTAGGTTTGCGCGCTTCTCCGACATAAAGTGATCGTAAAAGCAGGTAAAAGCAATGGATTTTATGAAACAATTACTATTTTCTCCAACTCAATAAGGATGCAATGCATATTTACCCCTTTGATAGGATTAGCAGCAAGGTTAAGGAAGCTAAGAAACAGCCCAAACCCTTAATTTTGAAGGCTTCACGACAAATCAGACAAAGCACTAACTTCTACGACTTTTGAGAATGAAGTCAACCCTTCTAGCACTAGTTATAGTGGTGGGGCCAACAAGAGAGGAGAGTAAAGTGTCAAAGTGCTTTGTTAAGCACTCACACAATCCAATCCTTTGTACCAACTTTAGTAGCTATTTAAACTCTTACGTTACTGAAATGCAATTGTGTTTTAAAAAGGAAAACTTTGTACTT